AAATCATTAAATAGCCTTTTCTTTAGCAATTCGCCAGAAATTTCATAAGAAACGAGTCACACAAACACGCCGTAATTGCAATAAAAATGCTTACCTTACGAATCGATAGTTCGAAAATATCAAAAGTTTCACTTCGATCAGTAACAGAAAAAGCTTCGAATTTTTCTAAGCAGCTAGAATAGATATTATCATTTACTATGATTGCGAACGCAAGTGTCTTGTAATCGGGAATTAGACTTTTTTTACCGCAAACTATTTTTCTTACAAACTTACGTAAACTTGCTTTTTTTATTGAAGGTTGAAACTTTCCGGGCTCCTTTGCATTTGTCCTAGAGCTAACGCCTTGCTTTTGCACCCTAAGGCCGGGGGTTCGACTGCTGATGGGACCTTGTTTTCTTTTCAGTATGTATGCAATTGAAGAAATATTTGTGGCAAAAATTGAATTGTCGGACTTTCGTTTGTCTACTTATGTTTTGTCGGCTTAGTTGCCACATCACTGAGTTTTTTGTGTGCTGTTAGCAATTGTCATGGTAGTTGCTTGTGTGTTGCATTGTAATTTCAAGGGGAGCTTGAAACTTTTTAAAATTTTCTTATAAACTCTTTTTGGTTTTCGGCTCAACGGTGTCTGCTTATAGATTGTCGGCTTGGTTTCCGCTTCGGAAGTTTTGTTCCATTGCCATTTTTTAAACTCAAATGACTTGCTTGGCATGTTTTCCTAGATTTCTTGTTTGATAAAAACAGGTATTTTGAAAATGTTCGGGGTTTGGGTTTCTTTATTTTGTTTTGAGACGCTCCGGAAAATTTTTTCACTTTTTTGCATAAATGTCTATCAAAAACTCTTCTGCTGAAAAAGTATCTCCTTACACTACCCCTCTGTCTACAGCCTTCGAAAACGTATGTAGGGAAAAATTTGGCCCATGTTTTTGACATTTTTTCTCAAAAGATACTGTCAAATCTGAGATTTTGCTTTCAACGAACAGAACGGATTCGAAAAGCTTTACTGCATAAGCGGCTAGGCCCAATTTTTTTCAGACATAAAGATATGGCCCTTCGAATGGTCAAAGGTTTGATTTTTCTGACCGTTTCTCGAGAACACCCCTCCCAAGTGAATCTCGTCTGCATAAGCGGTTCCGACTGGCTAGATGCACAGCTACCGAAAGTCATGATGTTCGGGGAGGTAAATTCATTAAGAACGAAAGTGGCATACTCCTCACTGACGTGACTGATGTCCTCGAAAGATGGCGCGAGTATTTTGACTCGCTCTCTTCCAAACCAGCCATCGGTTCTATGATGGACTCTCTTCCCATCCATGGGCCTATCAGGGAAATTACCGAAACTGAAGTTGGCAAGGCAGTTATGCATTCATCTGACGGTAAAACACCCGGACCATCGTCCATAACGGCTGAAATGCTGAAAGCCTTGGACGCATCCAATTTCTCTGTCTTGACAAGCGTTCTACAAAGTGTCATTGACTCGGGGAAAATCCCGGATGAGTGGTGTACGAGTGATACCGTGACCATCTACAAAGGAAAAGGGGACCCCTTGCTATGTGGATCGTACAGGGGGATTCGCCTATTAGAGCACCCTATGAAGGTTTTTGAGCGTGTCATCGAATCACGCCTTCGCGGCATTGTATCGATAAATGACAGACAAAGAGGCTTTATGCCTAACCGAAGTGCAACCGATGCTATTCATCTGCTCCGTAGGTTGCAGGAAAAGTTCTTAGCAAAGAAACAAAAGCTTTATCATGTCTTTGTAGACTTAGAAAAAGCCTTCGATAAAGTACCAAGATATTTGATCGAGTGGTCTCTTAGGAGACAATACGTCCCTGAGAATCTAGTCAAAACGGTCATGTCGTTATACAGAAACTCGGTCTCCTGTATGAGGCGAGGAAATCAAAGGTCAAACCAATTCCAGGTCAACACTGGTGTGCACCAGGGCTCTGTCTTGAGTCCACTGCTCTTCATTCTGATAATTGAAGAACTCACCAAGGAATGTGGTGACGGAATTCCATGGGAAATTCTGTTTGCAGACGACTTGGTGCTGACAAGTGAGACCTTCGAGGGCGTGTTGCAAAAGTTTGCAAAGTGGAGAACAATTTTTGAATCAAATGGCATGAAAGTTAACATGGACAAAACGAAGTTAATGGTTACCGGGGAAGAGGGAAAGACCATAAAGTCGGGTGATTACCCTTGTGGGGTTTGCAGCAAAGGGGTCGGTAGTAATTCTATGATGTGTACTTCATGCAGGCTATGGGTACACAGAAGGTGCAGTGGCTTGCGGGCAAGCCAACGCCTCTCTGAAACCTTTGTTTGCAAAGTTTGCCAGAATCCCAAATCCAAGGCAACAGATAGTAAAATCACACTTGCAGATGGTGAAATTGAAAAGGTGGGTCAGTTCAAATATCTGGGGGACATGCTTCATCCGGATGGGAAGGTGGAAACTGCTGTGCGAGCCCGCATAAATTCCTTCTGGTTGAAGTTTAGAGAACTATCCAGACTCTTATTGGATAAGAATCTTCCACTTGTTCCGCGGGTTTTGATCTACAAGAGCTGTCTGCGTCCAGTGTTGTTATATGGAGCTGAAACTTGGTCAATGACAGACTCAAATTTTAAAATATTGAGATCAACGGAACTTAAAGTACTGCGATGGGTAATTGGTACTGACCTACATATGATCGCTTCTCGTTCTATTTATGAGCGTTGCGGTATTGACCATCTAGACATTTATTTGAGGAGGTCCCGTCTTCGGTGGTTCGGGCACACTCAGAGGAGCGTGCTCCTTGCAAATGCGCTAACAAACGTTTGTGTCCCCGGACCCAGATCAAAGGGTAGGCCGAAGAAGACATGGGACAAAACAATAGAGGAAGACCTATCCTTGCTGGGACTGAAAAAGGAGGAAGCCATGGACAGGGATTTGTGGAAGGCATTGTTGTCTAACCCCGTGTAGCACGGGAAAAAGACACAAAACGTTGATGATGATGATGATGATAAGCGGCTACGCTCAAATTTTTCTATACAAAAGGCCATGATTCTCGGAAATGCCAAATTTTTCATTATTTGTTCTTGGACTTTATCCTGCCAAATCTGATGTCATAGGTTTGATCGAATTAACGGGTTTTTCAAAGCCTATCTTTATAATTGGCTATGCCTAGAACAAGTCAAAATTTTGAAGCTTTGACCGTTTTTTGGATAGTTACGCGAGAACTACCCTGCCTATTCTCAGGCTGTGTTCAATCGGGAAACCCGGTTTTGAGACTCTTCTCTACTTAGTCCCCACGACCTGCTTTTTTATAGAAAAATTTAATGAATTTCGGAAAGTCCAATTTTGGATTTGTCGACGATAAGTCTTGAAATTACGCATTTTCTCCCGCATCAGTATAAGAAATTCAAAAATTATCAAACACGTACCTCCAGCCTTAGTGGGGCCCTTAGTTGTTTTTTATCAAGAAATACAAAAATTTCGGTTCACCAACGGTTCACCAAATGTTTTTCAACGTTTTAAATTTTTTTCCGGCAAGTTTTTTTTATATGTGTGCTTTATCGCAAGTGTTGCGAAGCTCTGCTTCGCGGCTGTCAAAATTTATTCGCATTTTTCCGAAAGTTGTTGGATTTGTCCACCGTCATTTGAAATAGATTGTGTTAGTTTTCCAACATTTTGAGCTACACGCGGATTTAGTCGACTTTTTTCCAATGCAATCAATAAATTCAATTAATTTTCAATGGGTTCTCTTTTTCAACTTCTGAACTCGAGTAACAATGGTCGAGAGGATTCAAGTCCGGAATCTGGAGGACGCCACAGAATACCTGTTTGTGAGAAATGAATGCGGTTCTCGAACTTTCATTTAAGCCAAGTCAGAACACTGGCAGCTCTATGAGGGGTGCTCCAGCTTGCTGGTGTTAAATTCTTCTGAAATTTCAAAAGTGGGAGAAGTATTTCTTGTTGAAGTATATTTAAAGTTTTTTCTTCAAGTACGTTGGTTCAAAAAATCATCTAACTTAATGCGTGCAAAATGGGCGCTTCTCCATGTTAACCTTTTTTTTCAAAAAAAGCATTTTCAGTGTAATTTACATGCTAATATGGCTAACTGCGTGCTTTTTTACTGTTAAGTCTGAAGAAAAAATGTGTACTCATTAGTTAATCTGCCTTGCATACAACGTTCCATTCAATCCTGACAACTGTTATTTTGTTTATTACAATTCCTGTTTGATAAAAACAGGTATTATGAAAATGTGTTTTGCGTTTTTTAGACGCCTGAGATTTTGGGTTCAATCAAAAGGAGGGGCTTATAGAAGTTCTCCTGTATAAGCGGGGTCGTCCAAATTTTCTTACAAAAAAAGTTATGGCCCTCGTAAAATCAGTGTTTTGACTTCTTGTCCGTTTTTTGACATTTTTTTAAACTCTCTGGAATACTTAACCGATCGAATTTAACCTTAAGGGTTTCACTGAGGCAACAGTTGCGGGAAGCATCCTTGCAAACTAGCTATGCCTTAAAAATTTCATGAAAGATATCAGGTCTTTGAGAAATTTCTAGATTCTCAAAAAAATTTTATTTCTTTTTTATTTCATTAGAGAAGCTATTTTAAAAAAATACAAAAAAGTTTTTTTTTCAAATTAGTGTCGTTTTTATGCGTGGTGTGATAAAAGATCTGAACGAAAAAAAAACATTCGATATATTAGACAATCATAGTGATGAAATAGGCCAAATGGAAAACAGATTTTGTAGAAAAATGACCACAAAAACGAACAAAAGTCGTTATAAAAATTCAAAAAAATTTCAGTTTTTTGCAGAAAGTTCTTGATTCTCAAATTGGCGCTAAAAAACAAATTCTACCGTAATTGGCTTGGAACCAATTTTATTATATCCAAAATTTTATTTAATTAGCCAGTAGACAAAAACATATAAATGGTAAAAATAACATTTTGGTGAAAGAAATATGGTTGACCTTCTTCGAAAGGTTTTACTGCCTTATACACTATATGGGGTTGCTGACGTTTAGCCAGTGATGGTCCAGGAAACGACCTACATGTATATTCACCATGGTGCGGTTGGTGCTATCATTGGCAACAGGGGAGCGAACATCCACATGATTAAACAGCTGTCCCAGGCACAAGTCACAGTGGACACGCAAAGTGATCATCAGGTTCATTAAGTCTATCCCTGATACTGACGTGTTTTTGTCCCATTGTTGGCCACGCCTAATTGTCGCTCCCCTTCATCGTTTTTCAACTACGTGGATGGCCGATAAATTCAACGATTTTTCCCACTTTTCAAATCCCTGTTAGTATTGATTATTTTTCGTGCATGCCCAATTTTACACCGATGGGTCATAAGCCTAGAATTAAGGCTGTTGAAATATTTTTCTATTTTGATGTTTGGTTTGAAGGATCAAAGACGTATAACAGTAGTAGGTACCCCTGACGCCCAGTGGAAAGCACAGTGGCTGATAATTGAGAAGTTAAGGACTGACGGCTTCACTCAAGGCGAGTGGCCCATAGTCACCGTAGAACTGCCTATTCCTGTCATCATGGTGGGCAGGATAATCGGCAAGCAAGGCAAAAAGGTGCTGGAATTGCAGCGGGAATCACATGCAATTATCGAGGTTCCGATGGCCAATACTCTAGAGGATATGGGTTGCTCCTCGTGTAATAAGTCCGCATCAGCAGCTAATTGTGCAATGCTGTTGAATGGTATGATTCATCACGCGGACTGTAAAGATAACAGTGACGTGATGTTGGTCAAGTTGCTCGGACACTTCTGGGCTCTTCAGGTCCGGGCTGTTTGTTTTGGATTCCTCCTAACATCTGTCCTATCGCTTCTCATCTCTTCCCTTCTCTTGCCTGTAATAGAAATTTTGCTTTTGTATTTGATGCTAGACTTTAATGTTGTTTTTTAGAGTGCACAGAAGAAAATCCGAAGCATAGTGCAAAAGGGCAAAGCCAGTCCAGGACTCAGTGGATTTTTGCCAGGCTTCGGTGACCCTCATGTGAACGCTTTTCCGAACATGGGCACGCCTGTTACGCCTAAATCGCCTGCCACAATTGCCGCCTCAGGGTCATTTATTAACGCAGCAGTAAAAATGGCCGGGGGTATGTCGTTGGGCGCCTCGGCTGCTCCAGGAGCCCCGACAATGTCCGCTGCCTCAGCTCAACAACTCGTAGCAACTTTAAACAACTGCGTCGCTGCTAATTCAAATGCTTCATTATCTAATCACGCGAACACAATTGCCTCGCCAGTGATCAATGTCTCTGCTGCGTTTGGACAATTTTGACGTAATTACGTTCAATGTAATGTCAAAATGCATGGTGCTTCAAAAACTTGAAAACCGCTTTACTACTTTTGACGTACGACACTAAACGCCTTAAACTTGAACATATCGTTCGAAAGATATGAAACTAAATTTCATCTCTCGTGGTACTATGTTTTGTTTTTCGTTCAGTATGTATTTAACTTTCGATTTAGTGTGGCCGGAGCCAGTCATGTTTCGATATCTTATTAAATTTTTATATTTATACCATTTTCATGCTTGTCTGCAAATTGTGTGCCTAGTGATTTGCTTTCAGTTTTTGCAGATTATTTTTCACGAAAACGCTATTCAGCATTTTCTCTAAGTTTATATTTGATCAGAAACATTTCTCCATTTCAGTGACTCAATAGCTTCGTTTTGTAGAATTTTGATACGAAAAGTTCTGAAAATTGATTTAGCCAGTTTCAGCGAATGCTTATTTTGAAAGAATGATAGAAGAAAATCAGTAATGTCTGGTATTTTATTACATCTAACTGGTTTTGTTTTAATAATCATCTGGCTGAGTCAATTTCTTCCTGATCTGACGTAACTGATAATTGATTTGTAAAGCCAGTACAATAAACTAATTGCTGTAAGTGATGATTTGTAAATTCTCCACCCAACCTTTAATCGCTTGCTTCATGTAGATGTTCTTGTAATATTTGACCTTTCTTCGTGTAGTAGAACCTGCAACAAAACATTGAATGTGTTCGCTTTGCCTTATCTTTATATCTCCTCATTACTAACTAACTCCACTTTCCAAAGTGTAACTCTTCTTCCTCCGTCCGTCACTTGGCTCGCCGACTGCCGGATCACAGGTTCTAACGTGGCGCCGGCGACTGCGGTGATGTGCCTTGGTAGCCCTTGCAGCACAGCTGCTGCTGCCTCTTGTTGCCCCACGGCTTTTCTCTTTTCTCAAGTTTAAATATGTAATTTTGCATTTACTCATTCGATAATTATCCGTCGTTTCTGAACGCGACAACTTTCTTGCCTGGACATGTGCTTTACGTGCTACGATGAAGTTTCATTTGGTGTGCAATTGGACATGTCATGTTCGTGACATGTATTGTAACAGTAACCGGATAATACCACCCACTCATATATTTGTACTTGATTGATGTGACGATTGATTTAAGGATTGTATTCTAAATTGATTTTTCCTCACCTTGTGTTTGTGTTTTGAGAATTAACCGTCCACAAAGTTTTCGGCTCTCCCCCTCGCACAATTCAAATTTTCTGATTTTGCAGTTGTTTCACGTGTTTTTATGAGAAAATGCGGGTGTGGTGTTACGATATGAAGTAGGATGAACAAACTTGTTCACCATGTAAGTTTTCCTTGCATTATGACTGCGTGCAAATTGTTATTCCAAAAACATATCAAATTGAAAAGAGCCTTATATTCAATTTTGGCAATTTGTTACAGGATTAATTTTTCCCTTGTCTTAAAGTTATGGGCTCTTTTCCACTAACCCACTCACAACATGCTCATGATGCAATGAAACTTGGCATGGTGAACAAACTAAAAATTGTGAACAGAATTTTTCTCCATGAATCACACTGTACATTTAGCCATTATAACTCGTAAAACAACTATGAAGTTGGAAAATCTGAAATTGGGGAGGGGGAAGTGGTAGAGGCAAGTTATCTATCAACGGTTACTTAGTTAGTAGCGTGGCTCTTTTTCCTTTCCGCCCCCCCCCCCCACCACCTGCAAACTTTTACATGTAATTTTGTTGACCACATTGTCCGATTGCTATGAAAGTTTACATACAGACTAATATGAATAGAAATTAAAACGAAATCAAAAATTAAAACAGCAACAACAACAAAATTGAGCGTGCGCAAGAATAAGGATTTTTCACCGAAAACAAACAAACAAAAAACACGCACAATTTGATTGATTGTCTTGCCTTCACTTCGTTTATTGACACTTCAAAAGCTGTAAATTACAAAAATCTATCGTCTATCTCGAAAAACAAACAAGTTTTCAAAATCCAATCAAACGCGAAAGCTAATGGCTTTTTTTCCTCCCCCCCCCCCATCTCACACGAGTTTCAAAATATTAGTGTAACGAGTGGTTTTACGAGGTTGAGTATGAAGACCAAATATGTTTGTCGTGGCCTTATTACCCTTGAAGCTATGCAGAAAATGATTGAATTTTATCATGAAACAGGGATAGACATGTTAAAGCTCGGCTGCACACTACCGAATCTAGCCAATATCTGTCCACACAATTCAACCGACCATAAGTTTAACCCAGTCTTCTCTAGTGATAGTGTTTTGCTTGAAAAAATACGGGAATATATGACCGGAGGTCCCTCTATTGTTTTCACAAGGAAAGCAGGAGCAAACAAAACGTTTACTCCAAAATCAAACAACTTGTGTAAATCAATCGTTGGTATTGATGCTAGTCAACTTTATCCTTATTCTATGTGTCAGGATATGCCCACAGGCTTGTATACAAGATGGGACTACGATGAAGAAACACAAAAAGTCAAGGCAAGGCAGAATCGAGTTCGAACGTTTGAAAATATGGTCGTGTCATACTTTCAAGCAACCAGTTCTGAATGCAAAATTAAGAGTTACTACACTACAGGAACCCAGTAAAAATTGATTGCTTTAGTGTTGATGGTTTTTGCAACCATTGTAAGACTGTCTTTGAAGCAATGGGTTGTTATTTCCATTTTTGCCCTTGTCAAGAAGCTAGACGGAGCTTAACTGATGATGATATCAAACGAGGAATCAAGAAAAGAGAATTGGATGAGCTTCGAAAAGACTACATTCGAGAAAAAGGATACTCTGTAGAAGAAAAGTGGGAGTGTAGTTGGTGGGATCAATTTAAAAACAATGTAGACGTAAAAATTCACGTTAGAACTCACTTTCCCTTCAAAAGACTCCTTTCTGTCACTTCACTGGTGCAGTACTTAAGTAATGGAACAATGTTCGGCTACTTGCAATGCGATCTTAGTGTTCCAGATGAGCTAAAAGCAAAATTTTCCGACTTCCCACCTAATTTCAAAAATATTAATGTTACCAGAAACGATATTGACGATTATATGAAGACATATGCGGAAGAAAACGATTTGTTAGAACAACCGCAACGAATGTTGATATCGAGCTTCAAGTTGACCAACTGAAAACTGATCACACCACTTTTCAACTTTTACTTGGATCTTGGACTACAGTGTACAAAAATTCATCGATTTGTACAATACACACCGCGTAAAGTATTCAACAGCTTTGTTCAGTCTGTTGTTGATGCTAGGCGAGCCGGCGATGAAAATTCATTATCTGACGTAGTAGACGAAACAATGAAACTTCTACGAACGTGTTTCTACGGCTATCAAATAATGGACAGATCAAAACATACAATGACAAAATATCTTGGAGACGAAAAAACACACTAAGCTATCAATAACCAATTCTTCAAGAGACTCAATATCGTAGCAAAAGACTTGTATGAAATGGAGTTTTTTAAATCTACTATAGAGCATCTTGAACCAATTATAGTAGGGTTCTATATACTACAGTATGCCAAGTTGAGAGTGTTGGAGCTCTATTATAACTTTTTCGATAAATTTTGCGATGTCAACAAATTCGAAGAACTCGAAATGGATACAGATTCCCTCATTTTGGCTCTGGCAGAAGAAGATTTAGATGAATTTATCCTTCCCAGCAAGCGAGCAGAATGGACTGAAAAGCGAAGCCAGGACTGTCGAGTCGATTTCAGAGCAGATGCGAAAAACAACTTTTTCCCACGTACTTGTTGCTCTAAACATAAGAAACATGACAAGAAAACCAGGATTGCGCAAGGAGGATTTCAGATGCACCGAAATGTTATGCCTGTGTAGTAAAATCCTTTGCTGTTATGATAGTAAAAGTCAAAGTATAAGTTTAGCAGTAAAGGACTGAACAAACGCGCATTAGAAGACTCTGGAGATAGCCCGATGGCAAAGTATCGACAAGTTTTGGATGAGGCAGTGAATTTGAAGTCAACAAATAGAGGATTCAAAACGATTAACCATGCAGTCGCAACTTATGAACAAACTAAAAAAGTACTGAGCTATTTTTACCCTAAACGGGAAGTTGAATATGATGGAATACATACTAAACCTCTAAAATTGTAAGACAATATGTAGTAAAAATTGTATACGATGCTGTGAATTAATAGATTTTCTCTGTAATTAACCTTTTTTCAAAAATTCTTTTTTAACGCTACGTTTGGATTAATAATGGATGATATCAAACGAGGAATCAAGAAAAGAGAATTGGATGAGCTTCGAAAAGACTACATTCGAGAAAAAGGATACTCTGTAGAAGAAAAGTGGGAGTGTAGTTGGTGGGATCAATTTAAAAACAATGTAGACGTAAAAATTCACGTTAGAACTCACTTTCCCTTCAAAAGACTCCTTTCTGTCACTTCACTGGTGCAGTACTTAAGTAATGGAACAATGTTCGGCTACTTGCAATGCGATCTTAGTGTTCCAGATGAGCTAAAAGCAAAATTTTCCGACTTCCCACCTAATTTCAAAAATATTAATGTTACCAGAAACGATATTGACGATTATATGAAGACATATGCGGAAGAAAACGATTTGTTAGAACAACCGCAACGAATGTTGATATCGAGCTTCAAGTTGACCAACTGAAAACTGATCACACCACTTTTCAACTTTTACTTGGATCTTGGACTACAGTGTACAAAAATTCATCGATTTGTACAATACACACCGCGTAAAGTATTCAACAGCTTTGTTCAGTCTGTTGTTGATGCTAGGCGAGCCGGCGATGAAAATTCATTATCTGACGTAGTAGCCGAAACAATGAAACTTCTACGAACGTGTTTCTACGGCTATCAAATAATGGACAGATCAAAACATACAATGACAAAATATCTTGGAGACGAAAAAACACACTAAGCTATCAATAACCAATTCTTCAAGAGACTCAATATCGTAGCAAAAGATTTGTATGAAATGGAGCTTTTTAAATCTACTATAGAGCATCTTGAACCAATTATAGTAGGGTTCTATATACTACAGTATGCCAAGTTGAGAGTGTTGGAGCTCTATTATAACTTTTTCGATAAATTTTGCGATGTCAACAAATTCGAAGAACTCGAAATGGATACAGATTCCCTCATTTTGGCTCTGGCAGAAGAAGATTTAGATGAATTTATCCTTCCCAGCAAGCGAGCAGAATGGACTGAAAAGCGAAGCCAGGACTGTCGAGTCGATTTCAGAGCAGATGCGAAAAACAACTTTTTCCCACGTACTTGTTGCTCTAAACATAAGAAACATGACAAGAGAGAACCAGGATTGCGCAAGGAGGATTTCAGATGCACCGAAATGTTATGCCTGTGTAGTAAAATCTTTTGCTGTTATGATAGTAAAAGTCAAAAGTATAAGTTTAGCAGTAAAGGACAGAACAAACGCGCATTAGAAGACTCT